TTATTTTTTTTAACAATTCTTGTAACGCTCTAAACCCATGTGGGTCATTCAGAGCAATACGTAGTGGGAGGCTTGATCTTCCGTCTGCTGAGCGCGAGACAAATGCTTCCTATTTGTTCTTGCTAACTGATGAGAATAGATGGCTTGACGTAAGAGGAACCAGAACAATGGCACAGATTTAAGATGAACCTCCAGATGAGCCATAAAACACAACTCGGCCGAGTCAAGTGGCAGCTGCTTATATGATTTAGCGGTAAAATAAATGTTTCCTCAGCTGTTGCTCAGTCCCTGTCTACCTCACGTTATTTATCATATTAACCCATTATTGCAGTTTACCGCTAAAATGTTAAATAAATAATTTACCGTTTTGGTTGAGTCTCATTTACTTCCAGGACTGTTAAGGCCACAATGCTCCCAATTTCCATTTATGTTACAAATCATGACATAATTTCAGATTACAGTACTGTTGATGTACGCACACGTACATTTAACATGCGTATACCTTGTGCGGAATGGTTATTCACGCAGGTACCATTATAATCAAGGGGGAGCACTAAACCCGTAGGATTATGTAGCATCACGCAGGTACCAGGTAGCAATGAACCCAATAGATGACAGTGTACTCGGTATACAACCTTGTACGCACCGCTCCCAAAGCTGGACAACCATTAATTGGCTGGTAGAGTCCGTGGACTATGCTTAGGTAACACTGGTTTTTTTTTTTTTTTTATTCGCCGGTATTCTCCCGGCCCGGGTCTTTTCCAAGTAGTGGTGACCCGGCCTTGGCTCCCTATCTGGGGAGTGTCTCGAGACTTAAGTCTCCCATGGGAGGAGGTACAGTACCTCCTCATCTTTGGGACCAAGTGTCCCCAGGCCTAGCCACATTCCCCGCCCTCACGGGGCTCGTAGGGAGAAGCTAGACCTCTGGTCTGCCATCTACCCCGCCTCAAAGGGGCTCGTGGGGATGGCAGTCTTATGAGCTGCAGATGGTAGCAAGCTCAGGCCTCTCTTGACCTTGTTACTGGTGACACTGTTTTGTAAGCTCTGTCCACGGATGAGGTGTACAGCATTTTCTTTGGTTGAAATGGCACTGACATTTCCCCATTAGTCAAAATTCAATACTTTGCTTCCTGAGCTTTGTCATACCTCTTCTTAAAACTATGTATGGTTCCTGCCTCCACTACTTCACTTGCTAGGCTATTCCACTTGCTGACAACTCTATGACTGAAGAAATACTTCCTAACGTCCCTGTGACTGCCTATTCACAAATGATAAAATGGTTCACCATGTTACACCTCAGGGCACGATTCTCTCTCTTATTCTCATTCTTGGTTTCTAAGATATTCTCTCTGCCTTCATGTACTCCCATTTTGCTTACTCCTCCACCACACTGCTGCCATGTCCTCCCAGACTATCACCAGCATCTACTTCGGCCACCTCTCCTCCAGCGGTGGCTACCTCCCCAGGGACACCTCCACTGAACAGCCTTTCTAATTTCTGCTGTGTTGCCATTTCTTGACTCACCGGTCCCAGGATATCTCTATCTCTGAACCTACTTCTCTGATGGACCATTCACTAATGAGCGTCCTGCATATGGTCACTCTCTCTGCGTCTTACCCTTCTGAGCCTTAGTTCCGACCAGTTTGGGATGACTTCGATCTAGACAAATGTGCGCTGTGATTTGATCGCAAGGGTTGTAGTTCTGTGTGCAGTTATTGAATGGGTGACTGTATGAACTCAGTCTCATCCTTCTTGGGTTATCTTGGTATGTCACATGATTGCTATTCCTGGCATAGGTATACCACTCTACACTATACTATACCAATGTATGGCAGCAGCTACAACAGGACAAAAAAAAATTGTTGCACCTTACATTATATCTTATGGTATTTACAGAGAAGTGTTACAGCCGTAGGGGCCTGATTACCTCCAGCAAGTGGAGGTAATCAGGTTTGAGCCAAGGAAAAGGCGGGCAGCTCCAGTTTCTTGGATCAACAGCATTTAAGGTGCCCGCCAGTCTCCACCCTTGAAGGGCTGTACGGTGGAGATAAAACAATTAGAGCTGAGCAAACTAATGTGTTCATCTGAGCTTCAAGCATTTTAAATATCACTTAAATTAACAAATATTTAAGTGGACGAGCAACCTTTTTTTCCCCACTACTCCATCTATCCACTCTCATCTCTTGTTCAAATATTTATTTTACACAAATAATCCTCCAACATAGATATTATAACAAATATATTTACATTAATGAATGAGACACTTGTCGAAGACTTAAGTAACTCTTTCGTGAAAACTTTTCCATAGTAAAAATATCTGAATGTTGCACAAGTGTCTCATTCATCAAACTTGTCGGTGTTCTGTTTATATGATATTAGACATGGGAACGTCTTGGGAACTTGATACAGTGAGTTTTTCAACCCTTGCCTGACCTACAGGCATCACCTACTGTGCTTCCACTAGTTTATGTTTCCACTTGTGACGCCGCCTCCAACTGCTTCACCTTACCTTTCTACAGTATACAAATCCCTTATTCGTGCATATGCTGTACGTTTATCAAAATTGATGAATTGAACACGTCGGCTCCAGGCTGAGGGACTGATTACCTCAAACTCCTCATTTTTGACCTCTGTAATGGACCAAGGAAGCCACTGACTGGTGTAAAGTTACCACAATAAAGATACCCAAATGTTACACAAGTTTCTCATTCACCAACTTATCGTTTTCAAAGCCATTTATATAACATTTACATTTGTACATTATTACATGTAATTATTATATCATCTTTCACACAAGTGAGAGATGCTGTTATTCACACGAATGAGAGATGTTACCACTGTCTACACAAGTGAGAAATGTTATCATCGTCCACACAAGTGAGAGATACTACAAATGTCAACAAGAGATATTCCACGCAGGAGAGAGTCAAGGATGATACCCTGCATATGATCAACTGTTACCATGGGCCCCACCCTAACTGTCCTTGACAGGGCTGTAAAAAGTTACCCTAGTAAGAGATTTTGTTGAAGCTATTTTGAGAATCAGCGGTGAATGGAATCATCTCCATTTCACACTCTTTTGGACAATGGATGGATCCCCGTTCACCTCCTCCCTTTAAATATATACTTCTACCCAAAACCAGGGCTAGCACCATCAGTAAGTACTAAGCTAGCCATCCCCCCACCTGAATAAACTTATTAGCACAGCTAATATTTTTGTTGTGCATTATAGCTTGTTCTAAACCAAGCATAGTGTTAAACATGTATATTAGCTTTTCCTTATACACTGTCTAGTTTTAAGAGAAAATTTCGACATAATGAAACCTTCGTCTTCCTTACTGTAAATAGTAACACCCGATTTTCTTCCATAAGTATCCCATACGTCTGCACCATCAAGAATTTAAGCACCATACCTCTACCCGCTCACCATAGAATTTTTCCCGTTATAATGATAGATTCCTGAGAGGTTCTCACGATCTCAAATTCCTCCGTATCTTTTCCGTTTGTTGTACAGTACTTAAATAAATGTTTACCTTCCCACATTAGTGAATATTCAGATGCATTTCAGCACAAGAGTACTACCACCACCTACATTACAGTCGCCAGCCATACTACAGCCACCACCCATTCACTACTACCAACACTACAACCATTACTTCGTTTACCCCACCACAACTACTACCACCTTCCCACTTCCACTGTTATGGTCATCATAACTTCTGTGACCACTGCTTCTATTGTCATCACCTCTACATCCAGTACATCAGCCTATCACTACCTATTGTACCATCTTCGTCGCCATTGCCACCACCACCACCTTCAAAACCACCACCACCACCACCTTCAAAACCACCAGTAAACACCACCTGGCTGTCAGTTCACCTACCACACCCACCTAATTGTTATGAGAACCTGGAAAAGTGAGCCGTCCATCTTCCCACAGGTGGGCGGCGGCCACCTGCCTTTGGAGCATCTTGCTTCACCAGCTGGACCTTTGAAGGACAGTGCCGTGATGCTGAAAGGCTCTGGATTCACGAAACTAGAGGCGCCCTTCCCTTCCTTAGGTTAACTCTCATTATCAACCATTTTCCAGGAGCTGTATAGCCCCTTACGGGCTTAGTGCTTCCCCGCGATTATATTAATCATACTTGGTAAGTTCTTCAAGTTAGTTGCTGATCGGCCGGGCTGGGATGCCTGCATTGGTTTGAGTGCAGCTAGCTCCAGTGGCCTAATTGATCAAGATATCAATGACGTGGCCTGGTCTGGGACTGAGCTGCGGGGGCGGTGACCCCTGGACTCAACTGCAGGAAATATGTATCATTTGTACACTTATCTCGCCTGTCCTGCTATAAGAGGACGATGGATCGAGCCTCTACCACTAATCAAGGCTGAGAGATAACACTTCTACCTCTTCATCAACTCTGTTTACAGTATTTTAGTCACCTCTATATTGGACTGAAGGCCTGCTGCGCAGGCGAAGCGTTTCGGAAATAAAGATACCAAAGTGTTATTCATGTGTCTTATATATATATCCACTTGTTGATACCGTATAATATTAGTGAAATAATGCCTCCACCATTTACTGCACTGAATGACCCACACGGGTTTGGTGCCTTATCTAAATATAATAATGCAAACCAAATTTCTTTCGGAAGAATACGGTGCTAATACAAAGAGTATATACTGATAGACAATACAAAATATATACCGGTAGACAATAATACAAAGTATATACCATTAAACAATAATACAAATGTTTTATATCACCATTATATTAGGTAATTATGAATATTTTTCTATATTCATGTGAAGCACTAAGCCCACAGGAGTTATAAGCTCGACTTCCAAAGATCAAGAGCCGTTCACCAACATCAGTGCACTATCCCCTTGAAAGGAAGATCACGGACATACAGTGATCCATTTCGTAAATTTCAACTTGAGATATAATACCCGCTTCCCGTTTTCTGCGGCCTCACCTGGTGGGAATGTGGCGGTGGTGAGACCGTGTAGGTGGTGGTGAACCCATGTTAGTCACACAGGTGCAAGCAACCAGTGAGGTGGTGTTGGATCCTGCTCCTCTCATCACTTAAAGGACCAGAGTGCTTGGGTTAACTCCACAGCGATGAGTAAGTATGCACACAGGTGGTTTCCAGCGTGTTGTGTACGCCAAAGTGAAGTGTCTTCACGGTAGCAGTTGGATGTTAGCTGGGTACATTGGGGAGATCTCAACTGGCTGTGGCAGTGATCTCTAGTTTAATGTGATAATCCAAGGTTCATCGCCGCCCCGTGATCTTTGAAACCCAAGCGCTCTACGATATATATATATATATATATATATATATATATATATATATATATATATAAATTTATATATATATATATATATATATATATTTATATTCTTTCTTTCTTTCAACACACCGGCCGTATCCCACCGAGGCGGGGTGGCCCAAAAGGAAAAAACTAAAGTTTCTCCTTTTACATTTAGTAATATATACAGGAGAAGAGGTTACTAGCCCCTTGCTCCTGGCATTTTAGTCGCCTCTTACAACACGCATGGCTTACGGAGGAAGAATTCTGTTCCACTTCCCCATGGAGATAAGAAATAAACAAGAATAAGAACTAGAAAGAAAATAGAAGAAAACCCAGAGGGGTGTGTATATATGTGCTTGTACATGTATGTGTAGTGTGACCTAAGTGTGAGTAGAAGTAGCAAGACGTACCTGAAATCTTGCATGTTCATGAGACAGAAAAAAGGACACCAGCAATCCTACCATCATGTAAAACAATTACAGGCTTTCGTTTTACACTCGCTTGGCAGGACGGTAGTGCCTCCCTGGGCGGTTGCTGTCTACCAACCTACTACCTAGGATATATATATATATATATATATATATATATATATATATTATATATATATATATATGAATAAAATGCAGAAAATCCATAGAGACTGAGGAGGGGTTTGGACATTTAGACAGGATGGAACAAAATAGTGGAAGGCAGGGTAAGGGTCGGCCTAAGAAAGGTTGGAGAGAGGAGGTAAAGGAGGCTTTGTGTGCGAGGGGCTTGGACTTCCAGCAAGCGTATGCGAGCGTGTTAGATAGGAGCGAGTGGAGACAAATGGTTTTTATGACTTGACGTGCTGTTGGAGTGTGAGGAAAGTAACGTTCATGAAGGGATTCAGGGAAACCGGCAAGCCAGACCTGGGTCCTGAAGGTGAGAAGTACAGTGTCTGCACTCTGACGGAGAGGGTGTTGATATCAATGTTGCAGTTTTTAACTGTAGTGTAGGTGCGCCTATGACAAGAGAATGGAGTGAATGATGATGAAAGTGTTTTCTTTATCGGGTCACCCTTGCCTTCGTGGGAAACGGCCGACGAGAGAAGCATTCTATGGAGCAATAGACGGAATTAAGATAGAAATATAGATTGTTTTATCAACAGAATGAGTGGAGTTGGGTATGTCTATTTCCTGTTGAGAGGCTGTGGACGTGAGGAAATAATCTCTATCTCTCTCTCTCTCTCTCTCTCTCTCTCTCGTGTTTGTGTGTGTGTGTGTGTGTGTGTGTGTGTGTTGTGTGTGTGTGTGTGTGTGTCACTCCAGGCTTATTACATCACGTACACAGGAAGACCACTTGTCGTAGGCAAGTTGGTACTTCTCATGCAGCTAGCGGCTCCAGGATGTGTGGTATCTCAACTGGTCTTGGATATCAGGCTTGGACGTCAAGTCAGATTAATACAAGCTTCAGGGAGGGCGTGGGTGGTAGTGAACCTTGGCAGCGTAGCGTGTACACGACGGTACAGTGCAGTGCAGCGTGGGCGCGGGTGGTGATGCCTGTTAGTGGCGTGGGAGGTGAAGCAAGATGATGCTATGAAGCGTGGTTTTGATGCAAAATTATACAGCATTGAAGTGGTGGTAGCGCTCACTGGTGCACTGTGGCGTGGATGTACAAGTTGGTGTACCACAGCGTGGGCGTGGTGTATCGCAGGGTGGGCGTGGTGTATCGTAGGGTGGGCGTGGTGCAGCGTAGCCTGGCGTGGGCAGGTCGTTCCGGCTTCTCGGTGCCTTATATTATCATATTCGCGGGGAAGCACTAAACCAGTAGGAGTCCTACCACGCCCTGGCAATAGGTAATAATCAAGCTTGATACAAGGAAGGGGCGAGTAGTGCCAATTCCTTGCATCAAGAGCCGTTCACCATCATCAAGGCACCTCCGCTGAAGGAGAAAATAAATGTATAGTGGAATACAATAAGGAATATCATGGCTTCCCCAGTGCACAATCCACTATTAGGAAATGGATAACAGCCGACGTTTCCGTCCTTCCTGGATCGCCACTTCATAAGGGTCCAGGACAGACCTAAACGCCACACAGTTTATAGTTATAATCCATGGGTTGCAAACTAGTTTTGTTCGTAAACCTAAATAACCCAGGCTTTTCTTCCACCAACTCCAACCTTACCTAATCCCTCGCATTAATATAAAATAACTCCCCGAGACCTATGTATAACAGTTTTTTAACTCAGGGTTTACTTTAAGCCTTATTTTAGGGATAAATCATTCTTGACTGGATGGTGAACAGTCTACATGCAGTTTTAATGACCTTAGTCGATAGCTTAAATACGA